AAGTGTTCAGTGATCATAAGAGTTTGAAATACCTGTTTGATCAGAAGGAATTAAATATGAGGCAGCGACGATGGCTAGAAATTTTGAAAGACTATGACTTTAGTTTGTGTTACCATCCTGGTAAAGCTAACGTCGTGGCAGATGCTCTGAGTTGGAAGACAGTCCATATGTCAATGCTGATGGTTAAGGAATTGGATTTGATTGAGCAATTTAGAGACTTGAGTATGGTTTGCGAGTTAACTTCGGAAAGTGTAATGTTGGGAATGCTGAAAGTGAATAATGAGTTCCTTCGTGAAATCAGGGAAGGTCAGAAACTGGACTTGAAATTGGTAGACTTGATGACCGTAGGTGGAACGGATAAGGAAGAAGACTTTAAAGTGGATGATGTTGGTGTGTTGAGATTCCGAGACAAAATTTGTGTGCCAGATAATCCTGACTTGAAAAAGGAAATTTTGCAAGAAAGCCACAGGAGTAGCTTGAGTATTCATCCATGAGCTACGAAAATGTATCAAGACTTGAGAAAGTTATTTTGCTGGCCGGGTATGAAGAAGGACATAGCTCGGTTTGTGTATGCTTGCTTGACTTGTAAGAAGTCAAAATTGGAACATCAGAAACCCTCCGGTTTGTTGCAACCGATGGAAATGCCGGAGTGGAAATGGGATAGCATTGCCATGGACTTTGTGACTGGATTGCCGAATACGGTGAGAGGCTTTGATGAAATTTTGGTAATTGTGGATAGACTGACGAAGTCGACACTTTTTATACCGATTAACATGAGTTTTCCTTTGACGAAGTTAGCAGAAATTTATATAAGAGTGATAGTGAAGTTACACGGGGTTCCGTCGAGCATTGTATCGGACAGAGACCCGAGGTTTACTTCTGGATTTTGGAAAAGCTTGCAAGAAGCTTTGGGTTCTAGTTTGAAATTGAGTTTTGCTTATCACCCGCAGACAGATGGACAATCTGAAAGGACTATTCAGTCATTGGAGGATTTGTTGAGGGCTTGTATACTCGAGTCGGGAGGCACCTGGGATACTCATTTATCGCTGATTGAATTTACTTATAACAACGGTTATCATTTCAGTATTGGAATGGCACCTTTTGAAGCATTATATGGTAGGAGGTGTAGGACACATCTATGTTGGTATGAGTCGGGCGAGAGTATGGTACTTGGGCCCGAGATTATGCAATAGACTACATAGATAATCAAGATGATTAGAGTGAAAATGAAGATGGCCCAAAGTAGGCAGAAAAGCTACCATGATAATAAGAGGAAAGACTTGGAATTCAGTGAGGGTGACCATGTATTTCTTAGAGTCAATTCGGTGACCAGTGTCAGTCGTGCGTTGAAATCGAAGAAATTGGATCCTAAGTTCATTAGACCGTATCAGATTCTACAGAGGATTGGGACGGTTGCCTATAGAGTGGTGTTGCCACCCGAACTTTCGAATCTGCATAACGTGTTTCATGTATCGCAACTTCGGTAGTATGTTGCTGATCCGTCTCATGTGCTTCAGAGAGATGAGGTACAAGTTTGAGATAACCTTACGGTGGAGGCGATGCTGTTGAGGATCAAAGACCGCAAGATGAAACAAATAAGAGGGAAAGATATCCCGTTGGTGAGAGTAGCTTGGGGAGGAGTTGCTGGAGGAAGTGTGACTTGGGAATTGGAGAGCAAGATGCGAGAGGCATATCCGAAATTGTTCTCATCAGGTACATTTTCGAGGACGAAAATATTTTAAGTGGGGGAAGGTTGTAACACTCATTTAAACTATTTAGTCGCTTTTGTAATTTTCTGTGATGTGTATTGGTGTGATGTCCTTAATTAAGGTATAAGGTTAGGAGCGAGGGTGAAGGGTAGTAAGATTATTAATATTATTCCAATTATTATTAATAATAATATTAGAGGGATTATGATGATGATTATTATTATTATTATGACTATTAATAATAATTAAATTAACTGAATTAAAATCCAATTAAGGGGTTAAGAGTGAGATAGTGGGAATTAATCAGTTAACACATGAAAGAGGAAAAAGACAGAGAAGGGAGAGCTAGGGTAGAGGAACCAAGATTTCTCCATTGTTTTCAAGCAAGAGATTAAATCCAAAGTAAGGGGGGAGAATAGATTTCAATAATGGGTGATTTAACATGAAAGGGTAGTGAGAGGCCCTTCCTCTCTTAGGGATTTTTGCTTATGCTTATTATTGATGTGATTTTCGTGACATTGCAATCCCCTTTAATTTCTGTTGTTGATGGATAACTATCGTATGATGTCGAATGTGTAATTCTGATATGAAATTTGTGTAGAAATTCGTGGTGCCGTCATAAAATCCTGATGAATAACAGATCTGGAAAATAAGGGGTTAGGGGTTAACGAAATTGAATTTTGGTATGATAGAAACCTTAGGAGAATAATGAATAGATGAAGTATAGTGAAGGTAGAGGAAATCGATTAACAAAAAACTGAATTTTGGGTTGAATTGAATGGTAAAATGAAGGGGATTGAGTGAGGAATCGTGGAGGGGATGAAATCTGATTTTTGGGCAACAGATCTGATGATACGCATATGGGACTGACCATACGCGTATGGGGTTGGGCAATATGCGTATTAGACAAGGCCATACGCGTATGAAGGGCATGTCAGCTAGGCCATGCGCGTATCATGTAGCCCATGCGCGTATGGAAGCGTATCAGTAGGGCCATACACGTATGGGCAGGCCTGGGGTGACTTTTTCCCATTTTTATGATTTCTGTCCAGATTTCGCTTGGAACGCAATTCCGTTTAATCGGTAGGTTTTAATATGGCTAAAATGAACTTAGGAATATGAGTGATAAATCAATCGGGAAAATGTGGAATTATGTGAGTGTGTCAGCAAGGGTGTGTTTTGATGATGGTGAGCCATAATTATCGAATGTGGGTAATCTTGTGCGGTTGTGGTAATTCCTGAGAGGATTACGGTGAACGGATGGCTCGTGTGGATCATTGTTGATCGTGAATTGTGCTTGATTTATCATGTTGCATAATTATTTTGTCATGCATGTTCATATCATGTGTCTTGTGGAGATGGCTAGGTGGGAATCCATGATGGGTGGCTAGTTTCATCCGGACTTCATTGTGGAAGTCGTTGCGGAGATAAGTCGTAGTTCAGAGGAACGTATATACGAATCATCTGAATTCCGACGGGAATCGGGTTCTAGGGTGAACCGTATGAGATTGTGTTGGTACCACATGCATCGTGTCGAGTCAGTGAGTCACATTGCATTATTGTAATTGAATGTGGGCTATTAATGCCGAGTGATTGATGAGGCACGTGTAAGTGCGTTATATGTGTGTAATTGTATGTATTGTGTGTAACTACTCCTTAGCATGTGCATTTCACCATTTATTTATTGAATGTAGTTCTCACTCCTTTTCTGTTGTTGCGTCTGTGCTCTCTTGGGAGTACAAATGTCTAGGTACCTGAGTAGTGCTTGGAGTGTGTTGCTAATTGATCGAGTCTTAGGAGTCGCTCTGATACGTAACATGGGATGACAGGATTTCGTTGTTGATTGATTATTTATTTATGTATTTATTGTTACGTATCTTTAATTGTTGGTTGAGGATGTATGATCGCCTCGTGGTGGAAATGATGTTTGAACCATTAATTTTATTCCGCTGTTTAATTGAGACCAAATAACATTGATTTAATTAAATTGAATGAAGTGACTTAGTGTGATATCCCACTGATTTGGAGAACTCTGATGTACTTTTATGTATTAATTCCGTATATGTTTTATAAATACGCGTACGGGGTAGAGTGGGGTGTTACAATTGGTATCAAAGCAGGTCAGTCCGTCCGGCCAGTGTTGTAGTAGAGTCTGACTATAGGATGTTCATAGTCATGTGTTTTTCTAACCTGTGTTTTGTGGATGTTGACCAGTATGGATGGTAGGGACGATGCTGCGATGACTGTTGCGTTACAAGCTGTTGCGCAGGCAGTGGCGAACGTTGGTCAGAATGTCAACCAGAATGTTGAAGACGGAGAGTTCCGTAATTTGGGGAAGTACCAGAGTAACAAGCCACCTAAGTTCGAAGGAGGGCATGATCCAGATGTAGCACATAAATGACTGAAGGATATTGAGAAGATCTTCAGAGTCATGGGCTGCTCAGAGGATCAGAAGGTACAGTTTGGTACCCATATGCTGGAAGGTGAAGCTGAAGACTGGTGGGACAACACCCGTCAGGGGTTGGAAGCTGGTGAGGGTACCATTAGTTGGACAGTGTTCAGGACAGAGTTTCTGGAACGGTATTATTACTATATTAATATATTATTTTGTATTTCTGTTATTTTATTCGGGATAATGCATCATTATTCATCTACAAACAAATACATAGCGCGTTATAAAAAACTTGTTATGATACACTTCGGAGACGTATCTCTGAAAAATTCCCGTAGATACATTTCTGAAAATATTCAAATGAAAATTGACTATGAGAGATATGTTTCTATTTAATGTTTAAATAGTTTTGAAAATATATCTCTGAAATGTTTTAACATTTAATCAAATGTGCGTCCGAAAATATATCTTCAAAAATAAGGAACATAATACAAAAATTCACATGGTGCCTAAAAAATGCATGAGTGGGAAAATAAATGGTCTAATATAATCTTAAATTGTTATTCTGTCCTTTTTATTTCCTAACTGTTGGATTAATCCAACAACTCAGAATTCCCTCATATTCTCTCGAACTTACCATACACTTGCAAGGTGTACATGTCTGAATGAAAAGGGTAAATTGTTCATTTATTCCTCGTCACCAACGTCCATCCACTTGTTTGCTCCGATGACATGATTTAAATTTCAATTTACATTTCTTCGCCCTTCTGATCTCAAAGCTCCAACAGTTCTCGGTACGAATCCAAATTTCTATTTTCTCTTTTCTGAAATTTAACCCCTCTTCTGTAAAACCCTAATTATAAACCTACCTTAAAAATTGATTGTTATTATGAACAGGAATGAATACTTGTGTTGAGGGAAGTAAACGTCAGTTACCAGCATGGATGATGCCAAAAGTTGGTGTTTCCAACTCTGGCAGTGTTGTTAAAGCTATTTGTTCTACAGAAAACGCGGGGAAAATTGATTACAAGAAGGAAACATCTAAGAGGAAGTTAAATTCCAAAGCAAAATGTGAGGATAAGGGAAAAATAAGTTTAGATGAACGGAATGAAAGCGGTGATAATGTTAATGAAAAGAAGAGGAAAAAAAGTAATATATCTAGGGATAGTGCTCCTAGATGTTCTACTAGGAATCGCAAAAATTTAGAGGATCTCGGTCATGGTAGTAGTGATTGTGATAATGTATGTCAAGTTCGAGCATCTAGTGACGATGACGTGGAGTTGACTGTTGAAGATTTAATGGCGATTGCACAACAGGTAATTTTCTTCTTCAGATAAGGAGAAAATTAGGGTTTACTTTGCTTGAGTAATCTGAATAGAAATGCTTGCTACTTTAGCGTTGTTTCTTTGTATCCGCATGAACATTTTTGTCGTATGTTTGCAGTATGTCAAAGATTACAAGGACAAGGAGACGCGAGAAGCGGTGGGTAGACAGTGCGAGCCAAAATGGCAATTTCCGGCCACAACAGAAGCAGCAACTACTCTTGATTTGTCGCGTGAGAATAAAAAATCATCTAGTTTGGAAAGGGAAGCTTTGTATGATTTTGCTCCAACAAATGGCGAGGTAATTCCTACAAGCACATCTCAAATAGACCATCCTGCTCAAAACATGCTGGACGTGTTCTTGGGTCCATTGCTGAGAACAACCTTTGAGAAGGAGGAGAACTGGAGAAGAGAAAATCTGTCTTAGATAGTTCGTAGACAAAGTCAAAACGAACATCTTGGGGAAATGATGCCCTTGATAAAGAAATAAAACACTTTGAAAGACTTGGTGGCTGTTGTCTTGAGTGAAATATGTAGATTCAAGAAACACAAATATACATGTCATGGCAAGGCAATGAGTTAGTTATTGCACGGCACATTATAGTTGCTGCATTTGAAGGAATTAATGTAGATGGTTGCATTCTCACTCTAGTTGGTCAAAATTCCTCTATAATATTGCTATAGTTGATTTGTTTAGTTAGTTTAGTTGTAGATTTAATTCTGACACAATAAAATTGGATGTCAATCACCCCATTGCCAAGGGAGTGGCGAAGGCTTGAGAAATCTCATTTTCAAGGTACTGAGCTCGAATCCCATTAGAAACGGTTGTAAAATGGTCATTAATGACACTCTAATTAATAAAAAATCCCCCCTTTCCCATTTTATTTTTAAAATCAGCTCATCTTTTCTTAATATTATGGGATTTTGCTGCTGGAATTTTGTCCGACCTTTTGATATAAAGGTCCTGTTTAGTAATCTAATTGTATGTATTAGCTTCATCATATTGGATCATCTTTGTTTCTTGAGCAACCTTGTGATGAGTTTGCATGTTTTGAGGAACCTTACAGTAATTGGTAGAACAAACATTGATAGTTGTTTAGTATTTTATTTTACCATTGGAGCAAAATCATAATCATAGCAAAAAAGGAAAGGAGAAAACTCCACTGGGGGAAGATGGGATAGACTCCTTTTAAATTGTGCTGCTTCTAAGTGGGTGTGTGGTAAAGCCCACCTTCATTTTTTTAAATATTTATCTCTTACTCTCCTTACTCTTGCATATAATTCGAGTGACTTTTACATATTGTATCTGAACTGATAAAAAAACTTTCTTTAGAATAAAGAATATCAAAATAGTGTTAACTATTAATTCCTCCAGTTGAACTCTGTTCAATGCACTAAACGGCGGTCGTTGTGTACGTGCCTTTACGTAGAAATTTTGATAGCCCTATTTTGTGTCCTATTTTCTTGACATCTTCTTGAATTTGGTGTCGATATTCTCCAAAGGTGAAATTCCGATATATTGAAGGTTCCTTGCAGCCGCTTATCATAGTAGTGTAAGAAGGACATAGGAAGTATGCAATGGAGTATCTTTCCACTTTGTCGTTTGCCACAACCTTGTGCTCTACACTTTTGTACTCATCATTACTCCAGGCCTGTGATTTTCCAAAAGGAATGACCTTGTTAGCAAATGAACCTTTGGTAATTTGTTAAATGTGACAGATAGTTAACAATTATTTCTAGAGGAGTTTTTTAGTAAAAATGATGATCTGTGTATATCTGATTATGGAGTTGAGTCAATAATTGATGCTGTAACACTCACTTTGATAATCACTTTTCTATTCATTTTTGTAATACTAGAGACTAAAAAAGGGCTGTACTTTTGGCATTTGTAGTCAATGAAAAGAACTATATAGTTCTAGTTGAAGGATGCTACAAATAATCACTTTATGCAATTCTAAAGATGGAATATTGTTTCCTGGACTCATCTGCTTATATATATTCCTTTGAAAAAAATAATAATATGGCATGCTGCTTGCATCATATTGGTTGTTAGTTTAAATTATTCCCTTTTTTTAATGATTTGTTTAAATAGATTCTTTTGATGGTTGGCATGCTGCATGCATCATATTATTTTTAGTAATACAGTTAATTTCCTCCATTAATGGCTGTAGATGTTAGCATTGATACATTCATGGTGAATTAATTGTCAACTAATTTTCTGTTGTAACCAACTAACATTGAAACTAACTTTTACCTGGAAAAGATCTCCAATGTTAACAATAAGAGCATCTGGATTTGGTTTTACAGCGACCCATTTGGAATCTTTCATCAGTTGGAGTCCACCGACTTGATCTTGATAAAGGATTGTGAGGAAATCACTGTCAGTGTGAGGTACTAATCCAAAAATTTCTTCTTTAGATTTTGGGCAGGAAGGATAATGATTCAATCTCAGAAAGCATGTGCTTGCATCACAGAGTTTTTCAACTGCGTCTGTCGGGTGGCCCAAGTTTTCTGCTAGAATACCTGCCAGTAGCCTGGACACTTCTAGCATAGCTGGTGCAAACTCATTTATTGCTTCTCTGCAGCAAAGGGTTAGAAACATGTTAACTTGCTGTTTTTTTTAAGGGTGAAATCATGCATGCACAACATAACTATCCTCTCGAATGAAGCAGGTTGGTTCTAGAGACAACTACATTTTGTCTGAGCATAAATTCTAGAAGCCAACCTGTCAAGATCTGTAATAAACTAACAAGTGGTCATTTTGTCTATATTCAAATAATTTAATGTATTTCTTCAGTGCAAAGTAACTGGACAGTTGATGAAAAAAATCTGATGTCGGTATTACAAAACATACATGGCAATTATGGATTCTCGATGACCTGGTCTTACTTAAATCACCAAACCCACTTTAGAGGAGACGATTACTAAATAATTATTTAGCTTAATTCTTATTTAGTCATGCAAAAGTTGATAATTATTTAGTTCGAAAACCTGAATCACCAAACCCACTTTAGAGGAGACGATTACTAAATAATTATTTAGTTTAATTCTTATTTTAGTCATGCAAAAGTTATTTAGTTCAAAAACCTGTATGTGCGCGTCGTGCACGGATCTTCTACAGCTGCTGCATGGTGCAGCGACTGCCGGAGCCATTAGAGTCTAGTGAAAAATTAAAGAATTAATATATAGGGACAGTAGAGTTTATCTGTTTTAGGGGAATCTAAGGAGAGTCAAGTTTGATTTTCTTCAAACATAAAACAGGATCATTATGTTTTGAATCATGGTCAGTGTTGTGCCTAGAAATCAGGTTATATTGTCAGTGTAAGATGTCTTGAATCACTTCCTCAGCACACCAAGACAAATCAGTTACACTCAAATAAATGTCATTTTTCTCTGTTCTGCATCTCTTGATTTTGTCTTTGTTCTGTTTTTATTAAACTATTTCAATGAAATACACTACGCTAAAACTTAAGTATAAGACTGAGGTGTGTACCTTAGAGAACTGAATTCACCCCAGCAAGCTGCTTCTGAAATCATGGTGAGAGGAATGTGGAAAGCTTCTGACCATGAAAAGTGATTTGAACTAGTAGCTGTTGGTGTCCCCCACCTGTATGGATTGTTTAGAAGTCCACAACTGACCTTCTTCTCAAATGGTACCCTAAACAGCTTCATTTGCTCCTCCCTCATATTCCTTAGTAGGTCAGGGTTTAAACCATGGTTTATCACTTGGAAAAATCCCCATTCTGATGCTGCCTTGCATATTGCTGCAGTGCAAGCCATTCTTTCTTCAACATTACAGCTTTTAAGACCATTAAGGTCTATCAATGGTAGTTCACATGTATCCACCACAGTATTAATACTATCTTGATCATTGGAACTTCTAGACTTTTGAGGTTCATCTGAGTTTCTCAAAAGTGCTCCATAATGGTTCAAGAGTGGTGGATTTGAGTCAATCATTGTTGCACCTAGTTAGAAAGAGAGAGCTAGCTATGAACTATGAAGTAACTATGAAGTGTTTAAAGTTTTGGTTGGTAAGTAGAGAGAAAGAAAGGTGTTGGTGATTGAGGTTGAGAGTGCATTTATATGGCTGGATTTGGAGAATGGAGACACTAAGGTATAGGGTGGTCTAGAAAGTCATGAAATGGACAATCACTTGGGACAATCAAGGCTGTCCAAACAATGACAAATGTCAGAGAGATATTGATTTGGAGCTCTCTCATTAGACCATGTTTTAAAAAGGATACTAAAAATAGTGTGAAAGGGTCATCATCACTAGGGAAGTTGTCAAATAAGAACGAAAAAGGCTTCAAACATCTTTTCCTCTCTTTTGACTTTGCTAATTACAAATCATAAAATATTAATAATGATCACAGCAGGGGAGAATCCTTGTAGTGAACATTGCTCTGAATTATAATCAAGGTTAATGACACAATGACTTGATTTTACAATGAATATTAATTTCATCCTTTCTTATATTATATTTGATTTTTATTTACACTTTTTAGGTTTGACTGTATAGGAGCAACAAAAGAAAACAAGAATTTTTCAGAGAATATTCCCTAAAAAATGCAGTAAGATGGTTGCAATAAGTTTTAGTAGGTGCAAAATTTGTTACTATCTTAATGACATTATTATCTCCTAACTCGTTTTCAAGTCATGTAGTTGTGCATATGTAGAAACGGCTGATAAATGACAATATTTCTGTTACTTACTCCCCCGGCTAATAAATCATAATTAATTTTTGTTGAATGCAAATATTGTACAAATAAAAAAAAAGTCATTAGGTACAACTAATCAAAAACTCATTATTCACAAACTTCTAATATTTGTGTTCAATATACGAGTTTTTCATATTTATGAGCTAGAAATGCACGTGGAGACAAGTTATACGTACGCATTAGTCAAAAGTTGAAGCAGGCCAAGACGAGTTCATCGGTTTGTCTAGTCAAATGACTAATTAATAGATCAAACAAAAATAGCCTACCAAACAAAAGTAAACCACTCATTAAATAAAAGCTAGGTTTCTATTTTGTACATAAGACGGAAAGGATAGTAGTGATATCTCGTCCATAAAAAAAAAAGTATTTTTTTATATCTCGTCCATAAAAAAAAGTATTTTAAAAAAATGTGGTTGAAGCTAACTTAATTCTATAAAATTTATTTGTACGGTGAAATTTTTTTAAACTTATAAGTACATGAAATTTTTTTAAACTTATAAGTACATGAAATTTTTTTAAACTTATAAGTATATGTTTATGTTATATATTGTCCAACGCAGGGTCAAGGTCTCCCATGTGGCTGAAATATCTGGTCGACCAATGGGAGACTGTCAGGTGGAAAATCTAGCACGTGATCTTTGACCTGGTCCAACTGTCCCCGTGAATTCCGAAGGGGCAGTTGATCGCGTGAATTGTCAAGCGCGTAAGGAGGATGTACCCAACGACTATATTCTCCAACGACTATATTGTGCCCAACGACTATGTTGTGTCCAACAGTCATATTGTCTTAATTTCCTCATTGGGCCTTGCCTAAAGTTAGATTGGATTGGGCATTGCCCAACTGTGGATCATGTGTCAGTCCAAAACAGAAGTCTCCCAAGTCTTTGCTCTGAGGTGAGGAGTAATGACTTGAGTTACCTTAATTGGTCGACCGTTGGGAAGGAAATGCGTCGTGAGAAGGCTTTTTGAGGTCGTTATTATTTGAACGAAAATCTTTGGGGACGTATCCGACAGTAGTCTATGGTTAGTGTGGTCGACCGATAATCGCTTGTGGTCTTCCTCGGTATGCGAGGGCGTGGTCGCGGAAGGGATGTTTTACGTTGACCAGACTTACGCTTAAGATGCAGAGAATGTCCTGTCGATGAGACTTCTACTCAAATGATATCCTGTGACTTGTCGAGGAGGATGTGATTGCGGGGAGCTAGAGGGACTTGTCTTGAGGAATGTGAAGGGCCAGTCTTGAAAACGCCAACCAAAAGCTTTCTCTTTTGTCATGTGTGATGGTGTAATCATTTTTGTTAAGGTCTAGGAGGTCTAGGCTGGCTAGGCAATGATGACACTTGCCCTTTGCGCTTCCCTATGCGAGAAAATGCTTATATGAAGGGGGAAGAGGATTCATTTTCACACTTCACGCAAATTTCTCTCCTCTACCCCTTTTGCTCTGCAACACTAGTGGTATTGCGTTCTTCGCTGTTTTCAGTCCCCCTCTTCTTTCTCTAAATCTTCATCTTCAACCTTCTGACTCAAGTAAGTTCTTCATCTTTGCTTATTAGAACACATGAATTTTTGGAAATTAGCTTGAATTTTTCGGTGAAGCATGAGTTTTTCGGTTGAAGTTCATGCGAACCTTCTGACACAATACATTTCAAATCTTCCAGTATTGGACTTTGGAAAAGGTTATTGAATTTTAGGTCCAAAATAATGTTTTAATAATTAATTTATAAATAGATTTTCATGAAAAATGTTAATAAAAATAATTTAAGAAAAAGTATAAAAATTAATACAAAAACGTAAAAAAATATAATATATAAAAAGGAAAAACAATATATCAAATAAATTATAAAAAAAATCCACCTAGATTTTAAATAATTGTAGGAGGTGTTATATATTTAACCCTTATTATTATTATTTATATATTTAACCCTTATTATTATTTGTACTAACCAAGGATAGCAAGTTTTCAATCTGATTCTAACTAAGGTTGATGTCAGTCTTTGTTAAATGCAAGTTCAATCGCCATCATTGCTCATATTAATTATGCAGTCATAGCATTTGAAACACCAATATTTGAAGCAAAATAGCTTAAGCGATTAGCATTCTTATTTCTAAAAATACCATCACAAGCTGCAAACCTAGGGTTGTGTTGTATTTTATACTATACTGTTAGACTATGACACAGATCTAGAAGGGGGGGTTGAATAGATCCCCAATTAAAATTTGAGGGCGCTACCAATTTAAAATTGGTTTTAAAAATGTTTTAAGTGCGGAAGCGGCCGAGGAAAAATATAGTCTAAAACGAACGGTTATTGGAAAATCGGATATACGTAAGCCTTTGGATTAATGACAATTTGGAAAAATAGAATCACAACACTAATTCCACTTATCAATTATTTACTTCAGTTGTAAGGATTCCTAGTTCCAATGATTCAAAGTCAAACCAAAACTAGATACACAAGTAAGATAATTTTGGTTCAAGCAATATGCCAAACACTTGGTGTGAAACAACACTCCAAGTGATATTTATGTTGAGTAAGTGATTTCAACCAGCCTAGTACAATGTCTTGTTGTACTTTGGAGTTAAAAACAGAGTTTTAACCTCTTACTCAATTGATATCACAATTTTGACAATAGAGCTTACACAAAAATTACTTATTTTGAGCTATAACGTAAATGCTGAAAATAGAGAAGACAAGTAATTTGGTGAGGCAGTTCCCCCGTCGTCCTCGCTTCAGGGTACGTCTGCCCTCAATTCTAAAACTAGAATTGAGATATATTTTATAGATATCACCTGTTTAAATGAACAGTTTATACAAGGATTGAGCAGCAAATATACAACAGAAATCTCAATGTGTTGAAAGTTGCCTTCACTCCTTGCCCCTTGATTCAAGCTGAATCAAGTTCTTCGATTTGTGTTGATGGACCTCCGACTCCAGCCACCTTAATGAATAACACGTTGTTGTTCAAACCTTTGGCTCCGGCTGATCTCAACAGCACCAAATCGAACCCGAGATCTTCCCTTCAAAATCACCAAATCCGCTACTAGACTTGTGAAGACCACCTCTTCACAATCACCTTCACTCGATTGACCGTTGATGAAGAATCTCGTCCAAAAACCCCTAAAATTTGAACTAATCTTGGAGGGTAAAACCCCAATGGTTTTATTCAAGAAAGAACCTGTCACAATCTTCAACCCGAGCTTGATTCTCCAATCTAAGCCTCGAACCTTATCACCTTGAATCTCTCACAAATGCATTTCAAAAATGATTGTGTGTAATTGAAATGTTGTGAGATGTTGAAGATGAAGATGATGAATCTTGGACACCTATTTCACTCTTTTTTGTTTTTGAACACATGAATCAAAAGAATATCAAATGTTAGTAGACACAAGTGTTTAAACAAGTATATATAGTGCCAACATAATTCTGGACATAACAGTATTTCAAATATGAGAGGGAAGTATTTTAAAACAAATTTTCCGCGCGAACGGTCGACCTTAACAGGTCTGTGTGTCGATGCATGGCCTGTGCTGTTTTGGAAATCTGGAAAATTCATCAGTATGCGTCGACCATACAGTCGGCGTGCGCTGACCCGTTGAAATTTATTTCCATTATGCGCTGACCCTATGGTCGACTCATGCCTTTACGCGCTGACCCGCTGGAATGTTGTTCTTTCATGCGCTGACCCTATGGTCGACGCATTGCTTTGTGCGCTGACTAGTTTAGACTTTTTCTGATGCATACGCCGACCATATGGTCGACCCATGTCCTGCAAGCCTGCAAAAATTCATTAGTTTGAAGTCTTTCATGCCTTTGGTCATGATTGCATTTTGTCAACACATAGTATATTCATTTCAGAAGTTTTAAGACAAGCGTAAAAGGATATGGTGGGTGATACGTTGCATCTGGTTTAGTAGATCTGGAATTCATAATTTCCAATCTATCCAGGGAATTTGTCATCATCGAAACCTGCATTAACCAATGTTTTGCAGACTTGTGTGATATGTGGCGATTTGCCTCCACAATCTCCCCCTTTTTGATGATGACAACCTGTATACAACTAAAACACCAAATATGCAATGTATACACACAAGTATACACAAGCTCCCCCTTTCTTTTGTACTATAAGGTTGTAGAACAAACAACCATCAAATGTTGTTAATATCCTGAACTGTTAATATCCTGACTTGGCTTTGGTGTTTGCTTGCTACATTGTCTTCTCCCCCTTTGACACCATCAAAAA